CATATAGCAGAACTGACACTGATGAGATAAAACTAGTTTTTCAACTTAGCTGAAAGTGCTTCCTAAACAACTGAACTTAACCAGTTTAAATGTCCATATAAGATTTATACCCCAGCTTTTACTTCTAAAAATTTTGTTTAGAGGCAAGTTCTTTACAACTGTCTTCATTCACATATCCTAGGAAACTTATTCAATATTAAATGCTAGGTGTAACTGCTTATGTCCATACTATCCAGAAAGAAAATGAGGATGTTAGTCAAAAATTAAATCAGAATACCTGCAAACAGTTACACGTGCCATTGGGTAGACAAAGAAACAGGCGAAGGAGCCACATGAAAATCTATTTAACCAAATACTATTTAGAAACCTCTGGTAGAAAGAAAATATACAGAGTTTAAGGGACACACAATGAACTTTCTCAGTGTGTAAGAACTATGAATCAATTATAAAGACAGGTGAAGACATGTTTTAACTATTGATTTCTGAAAAAGCTAAGTCAATATAGAAATTGACAAAATATTGACAATACAAGAATTTTGACAAAACCTAAGCCTGGAAAGAAAGTATAGCTCCATGTACCTTGAACATTGTAATAAGACAGAATCTATATAGTAACTTTCTGGCTACCCCTTCTTATCCCGTTTCTAGTAAAAAGAGTATGAAAGTAAAAGAGCAAGCCACTTGTTAATCAAGGGAAGGTCAATTCTACCATTTGAGAATACATTAGGAAATAGCCCTTCGTTCTTTTAGTCCTAAATTTATCCTCTAACTGTTTTCTAGTCATTTCTCTGAAAAGACACCTTTGCTTCTCATACAAATTGAAATGAAAAATTAAACCCTTATTATAATGCAAAGATCTTTTATGGTCAAGCTCCTAAAATTATTCCAAACCTTATATAGCTCTGTTCGTTTCAGAAAAAGATATCGGTAAGAATGGGGCTTAAGTACTAGCAACACTACTGTAACTTAAACGCCAAAGCTTGCTGCCCACTTCTGTTTCCGACAAGGGAGGCATTCCTTTTACCATTAGACCTCTCCCAAGAAACATTGTAACTCACGCTGAATACAGCTGAAGTTTATTAAGAGAAGTTACTAACCTGACACTCTAAAACACAGTTCAGTTTACAGCTACGCTGAAGTGAAGTCTCTCTCTTCCCATGCTTTGGATCCTTACCTAGGTATCCTCTTGCATGTTTATCTGATAAATGCAAAGAAAAAGAAAGGGTTTCTTGGGGTTCTTTCGGTGGGCATAGCTGATTTAGCTGATTAGTTCACTATCTTAAGAGATCACTTTACTAGATGGCAGAGCCGGAGCAAAGAGAATCATCTCATCACTGGGAAAGGAGGGATGAAAACAAACTAAAATCCTCAAGTGTGCAATGCAGAAAAGGACTGGACTGAACCCAGTCATATTGCAGGGAACATCCTGAAAGCTATGATAGTATTAGCAGCAGTCATCACATTATACTTTGGTACTAAAAATATCAACAACTGCATTACTATTATGTACAATGATTGTACATATACATGGTCCACAAATGGAAAACAAAATCACAAAAATTTACATTTTAAGTGACTATTAATATGAAGACTAATGATTTCAATTGTGACCAATGTCCTTTTAAACATAAATAAACTTTCGTCAACTTTATTGCATAGTATTTACAACTTAAAAACTTAGAGAAATTTTTAAGCAACCTGCAATCCTACTGTTAGAAAGATCAGACAATCCTTATGGTACTCCTCTAATGCTACCATAAACTGACATGAATCTTAAGAGGTACAGAAACTCAAAAACAGATAATGTAAAATAAAGTCCTTGTAGAACAAGGACTCTATCTATCATAAAAGCCATGCTTCAGTCTTCTATATTCAATACCAACTAAAGACAGGCGTTTTCTCTTTGGCATAAAGAAAACTACTGCTATGTGTATGCAGAGCTCCTATGATAAACTCAGAACAGTTTTCACCTCACATGAATACCCAAGACATTTCAACTCTACACCTACTATGTTTTATAAACTACTCAATGCATTTTAATGAAAAATCTAATAAAAAAAATTAAATATGTACTCTTAGCACTATTATCTGTGAACTATCAATCAAATGTATGGTCTGATCAACATAACAAAAGGCTTAAATATTTTAGATTGTGTACTCTCAACCAATATACAGGGAGAATCTCTTCAAAGTTACCTGGAAGCAAGTTTAGGAAAAAATGACACGCCTGTATTTTTCATCACTACCAGTTATCCCAAGCTACATTAACACATTTTTGAAAGCTAATACAAAAATCCCCAATTTACTTCTTGCTTGAAGTGTGTTTGTGTCTGCCAAGTCTGAAGACAAGACAGTAACCTGGAACATAGCACATCTGGTAAAGTAAAACTACATGACTAATGTTAGTATCATAAATGCAACTTAAAAAAATTTCTACAAAAAATTGGGATTGTTATTCCAATTTTTACCTCCATATAGCTTTCAGTGATGGAAAGGTATACTGGAAATATATGCAAATTAAGATTTCCCTTTTTTTTTTTTTTTTTTTTTTTTTTTTTTCTAAAGGAAACATGAACTAGAATTTCTCTTTCCCTCCTGGCCTTTCTTTTCTCCCACACCCATTCAGAATGAAAAATGCGTGCTTGCAGGACTTAAACACATTAAATGTCACATAAGAAACAGTTTATCACTGTCATTCTAATCAATTAATTCATATACTATCGCATTATAATTGTTCTACACTCCAGCACACCAAAAGCTGTTATTGTGTTTACACAAAGTCAGTCTTATCAGTTTATTGTATTTAAAAGTGTTTAAAGTTTATCCTGATGATCAGAATATGCCTCAACAAATTGGACTGCATACTGTCAACTAAGAAACTATCTCCTTATTTCTCTAGTAATTTGTATGGGAACTTTGACTAAATATTCAGACATTTTACAGGCAAAGATATGTTTCCCACACCCTTTGTGAAAATACCTCTTACTACCTTAAAATGACAGTGGTAACTATCTATTTAGGAAAGATAAATTACATGTTTTAATATTTCATGTGTCTGAAATGCAAATCAGGGACAGATGTGATATTTGCATGAACTAAATTACTGTATCAATCAATAATAAATCATAGGAACGTGCAGGCATTTAGTGGATGTTTCACTGATATTTAGTAAGATGCATACATAGCAATTCAAATCAGATTTACAGCAGCTTTCCTCAAGTTGCTTAAAGATGGGCAAGGTGGTACCCAAAACCTGTAAGCTAAATAAAGATGCCACATGCCTGGTTCCCTGGAAGTCACCTGCATAGTATTGCAAAGGAACAGGAATACTACTTATACAACTGTACATGAATTTGTGTATTTATTCTAAATGTTTTTTTAGAGGACTGACATGACATCTGTGCAGAAAAGCCTGAGCAATCGCAATGAGCTATCAACCCTTCACAACACCACTGCTGCTATTTTCAGTGATCCACCCTGGTTTTGCTACAGTGCTCTTGGCATCATTATGCTACTGTGATTCAATATTTATCTGTTAGATCTAGTTACATCATAACACTATCTATACTACCTAAATCTCATGTAGAACTTCTGTAGCTAATACCTAATTCACAGTTTTTGAGCACTCTCTTAAAAATTATCCCATCACAAAACAAAAAGTCATCTGAGATGAGCAGTCACCTGGACCCCTGTGAATCATCCATTCTCTAAAAGGGTGTGTGGTCATGCATAACCACTGTACCTTCTTTCTAACAGTGATCAGGTACGAATAAAATCATGTGTGAACTGCAGTTGTTAGCATAAAACCACTTGTGAAAGGAATGTCCCAAAAATTGTCTTCAAAACATGTTTAATAATGGCGTTTTGTTTCTCAGCTACACAAGCTCCACGTCAACAACTAGCATTAAGCTAAAGCAATCACTTACCATTTATGACAGCAAACAAAGCCTTTATGCTTAATATTTTTAAAAGTTTTTTGTGTTAAGAGAAAGGTAGTAATACGTTGTGAAATAACAGAACTGAGTGCTGAAACTTCTGCTGACAACAAAGTCACTTGCTAAGTCCAAGACTAGCATTTTAGTATAATCCTGAGGAAAGATTAATTCTAGAATATTTTTAGCCCTAGCTTTGAAAGTAGATAGCACTTGATATAAACTGAAAAGCATACTGGAGGAGAGTGGGCAAGAGAACGCATGCAGAAAAAAGTCTCTGTTTATAATCAAAACAGAGTGAACAATTATTCTTATAAAATTAATTGTCAGGAAGAAAAAAAACTGCAAACACACTGAACAGCGTCACTACTAAGGCTTCCACAACCATCTCAGCCTTGGAATCAGAAACATGCAGAAAATTAGGAAGTCACAATATTGCTACATCTTTCATGTCCATTTTGCAACACAGACACAACTACAGAAAACACATGAAAGATGACAAATACATAAAAAATGGATTCCAAAACTGGGCAGTCATAAACATATGGGGGAGGCGGGGGGGGGACACACACGGGAACACACACGACAGAGTTCAGCTTTAATTCTTTACCACCATCTGATTTTCTCGGTGTGATTACACAGACTGAGACTTGAACTGTCATTTTCATCCACCCTACAACACTGGTAACTCGAAACAGGTAGCTAGGGATCGGCAGCAACTACCTCAACTCCTAGGTTTGATACAAGCAACCTCGAACACGGGTTTAATAGCAGTTGCATAATAAGACTCAAAAGGCCAAGCACTCCTACTGCCGTATACATTTCTATTTCCACACGAATGAGAGCGGAGGGAAATATCTGGGTGAAAACCGAGCACTACCCGAGCGTCATTAGTACTGCCACTAACAAGCTGGTTATTATGCAGCAAAGAAGAGGAAAAATCAACACCTGGCGCACAAATATGCGGACACCCAGTGAATAGGTGGATCTACAGAGAGATATCTTCCCTTTCCCTTCCCCAATAGGCAATCCTTGATGGGTGTGCCAGGAATGGGATATAGGGGGGAGGAGAAGAAAAGGGGTGGGAAGTGGTTGCCGCTTGCTGCAGCCAGCCTGAGCGATGGTTAGGTGGTTAATCATGGTGGCTGAGAAAACATCGGGTCACTTCTCCCCCCTTCCGCCTCCCGTGTAGCGTGGAAGGGTGGGCAGCGCGGCGGAGGCACCCGCCGTGCCACCGCCACCAGCCAAGGGGGGGGACCCGGATCCCGCACCGCTCGCACGGACCCGCTGCCGGCGGCGGCGGCGACTCAGGTGGGTGCCGAGCCAGAGCATCCCTCTCCCCGCCGCGGCCGGGCCCGGGGGCACCACCGCCCCCCCCCCCCCCCCGCGCTCTGCCCGGCGGCGCACACGCCCGCCCTGCCCTGCCCGGCCCGCCGCCCGCTCCCCGCGGGACTCACTTGCCGATCACCTCGCAGAGCTCGTACACGTCCTCGAACAGCACGTCGTCGTCGGCCATGGTCCGGGCGGGGGGGGGGGGGGGATCAGCCCGAGAGGCGGCGGCCCCGGGGAGGGGAAGGGGGGGGGGAACGGGAGGGAAAGAGGGAGGGGGGGAGGGGGGGCCGCGGGCACAGTCCCCGCCGCGCGGCGCGCTCCCCTGCCGGTCAGCGCCAACGGCCACCACCACGGTAAATCCCAACCGCTCTCGCCGCCACCGCCGCCACCTTCCCGGGACGCCGCCGCCGCCCGCCCGGGGGCTCCCGCGGCCGCTCCGGGACTCCCCGCTCTCTCCTTCCCGCGGGCCGCAGCCGCCGCCGCTCCCCGCGCGTGTCACACACTGCGCGACCCCACCTTCCTCCTCCTCCTCCGCCCCCCCGCCCCCCTCCCTCCCCCTCTCAGCCGGCTACTCCCCGGCGGCAGCGGGCGGGCGGGCGGCTCCGGCTAGCGGGGCGGCGCGGGGTCCATGGAGGGGATCGGCGCGGCGCGGAGAGGGGCCGGCGGCAGGCGGCAGCGCCGTCTCGCTCCCTCGCCGGGCGGACGGGCGGCCGCGCGCTCCCGGGCGGGCGGGCGGGCGGGGGGAGGCGCGCGCGCGCGCGATCGAGCGCCGGGAGGGAGGATAATAGTGGGAGGGGGAGGGGCGGGGAGTTGCAGGCGCGGCCGCCGATTACGCTGCCAGGCGCGAGGAGGAGAATCAGCAGCAGCAGGAGCAACGGCGGCAGCGGCCGCGATAGGCGCTCGCTTTGCTGGAGGGGAGGGCGGGCGGGCGCGCGCTCCCAGCCGCCGTCACGCAACGCCGTCACGGCGCGCGCGCGCGGGGGCGGGCACCGGGGCGAGGGCGCGCGCGCCGCCGCCAGGACGAGTCAGGCGCGGCACACACGCACGCGGGGGGCTGCCTTCGCTTCCGCTCCCTTTCTTTCCCCACCAACCCCCCACCGGCCCCGCCCCGCCAGAATCGCGCGCGGGGCCACGCCCACCATCCATTTTGGGGGGCGGGGGGGGCGGTCGGTGTGCGCAGGCGCGAGTTTGGATGACGTCATGTCGCGGGTGAAGGAGGGGGGCGGGGGGGCCGGTTCGGCTGTCGGTGGCGGTTGTGGTGCGTGGGGGCGCGGCCGGGCCGGGGGCGGGGGCGGCGACGGCGACGGCGACGAGCGGGGCTCAGGTACCGACCTTCCTCGCCAGCGGCGGCAGGACAGAGCGGCGGCCCCGCCGAGGCGGGGGGTGGGGGAGCGGGGAGACTTGCTGCTCCCTCCGCGGGGGCGAGGGCCGGTGCTTCGGCCCCACGCACACGCGCGGTCGGTAGCGGCCGGCGGCCCTGCTCGTTCTCACAATCGGCTGTAGCAATAAAGAGCCAGCGTGCAAAACTGGGCTTGGAGAGCTTTGTCCAGGGACGGTTACAGTGTTGTGGGTTGTTGTTGGTTTTGTTTTTTGTTTTTTGTTTTTTGTTTTTTTTTTTTCAAGGGGCTATAAATATTTTCTGGAGCACAGGTTGAACCCTTCGTTGTTGTTAGGGAAACAGTCATCTTATTCGCCCTAAAAGTAGTGAAGTGACAGATCCTTTTGGGAGTGATCTTAGATACACTCTTCCAGTCGGGCAAGTAACTGGTGGCTGTCTTTTCTCTTAATAGCTACTTAAAAAGCAGTGTCTGAGACATCTGGTGAAGTTTAAAACACTAAGTACTTGCCTGATACGCTGTGTTCCATGATTTTTATATGTTGCACAGAAAACTATATACGAAAGGTAGATATAAGTTGTACACGTGTGCTTTTCCAAGTTTTGAATTAGATGTTTTGTAGAAGACAGCAAAGCACTTCTGACGGAGCTGGTCACGAACTGTTGCAATTTACAAAGTATTTATTTTTGCTACAGTACTTTAGCACACTTGCAACTTCTTAAAACTCACACAGGTAAGTTACTCAGTTGCTCCCCACACAGAGGAAAAAACCTGCCAAAGCGGAATTATCTGATGAAGTGGTTTAAGGGTTAGCTTTAAAATTCAGAGCTGACACCAATTCACCAAGAACACCTTGTTCCTGTCTTCAGATGAAATCAAAAGAAAAAAAGGAAAGCAGTGAAAATTATTACGTCAATCTCCTGCATGATGGTACCATATACGGTGAGAGACATTACCATGAGGCTGTGTTTTATGCCATACAAACCATTAAAAAATATTTCAACACCATCTGCTATTTGGAATGCAAACAAAAAGCCAATATATTTAGATCGTTCCCTAAATTCCCCACAGCTAAACAAGTGGTCAACAGTTTTTTCCTTTTGCAAGGCCATTAGGCTGAGTATTACACAGGTCTCACAGTAGAGAGTTTTAGAATACTGGCGAGTGTTCATTTATGATTTGAGCTGAAAGTGTCTTCTAACTATATGTGGACCCATCATTAGATGTTAACAAGAAAAAATGATACAGAGGCGCACAAGGAAGAAACATGCTCGTAACGGATCCCTTCCCGAGCCGAGGCAAGTGCTTTTGCCACTGGCAGCATCGCCTCATGGAGGTCTGAGAGTCATACCAGGCCACATCACCCATGTGTGACACATTAAACTGAGGACAAGGAATACCAAGCATAATATATAGGGGGCCTTTGGGCCAGAATACTGTAATAGAACAAAAGCTTTAAGAGCTCTGGAAGGCAGTCGGGTCCAGTTTGGGGTGACACAGCACATAAACATGGTTTTCTGCTAATGGACGGGGTCTCAGAGCACAGGTGGGAGAGTTAGAGTTGTAGTCAGGGGAAGGTAGTCTCCTGGAAGACACTGAACAAAAGTGGGCTTTTGATAAGAGAGGTGGTTCATTCCCTGGCATCTAACCTACCTGCAGGGTCCTGCTACATTCCAGGAAGGAGGGTAGCAGCTGCTTTTTTATCTGATGGACTGAGGTGATTTTTTTTGTTTGTTTGTTTGTTTGTTTTCCAGAGCAAAGAAGATGTGCTCCTTAGAGGAGCTGTAGCATTCATTGCTTAGGCTGGCAAGAAGCAAGGCAAATCTATCAAAGCTTACAAATGTGTCAGTTGTCCACATTCCAGCACAGGGAGAGGGTGGAAACGGGTGCTACCTACTGTCTGAGTTGCATGAGAAGAATCTGTCTGAACTAGGATTTGTGTGCAGATCTGTATCATAGAAAGTTGCATACTGAACTAGCAAAAGCAGTGAGGATAGCCCTACCTCAGCAGTTACTAGAATAAATGAGAACTATGCTATAACTCAGTTTCAGATTGAATGGGCTCAAGAAAATATGAGCATAAGTTTGTCAGCAGCCAATACCCAATATTATGACCATCCAAGCAATGCATATACAGATATTTTTGTGATCATGAATTTCAGCCACAAGTTTGAAAGATGTCATTCCCTTTTCCTTTCACAGGCAGGCATTCTTGATTTTCACTCATGTATCCAATACATCTCCTTACAGATTCTGTGTTTAATTTGAAAGTTTAAGGTTAAATTCTGAAATACGGACATCTAACATCTTATTCAAAAGTATGTAACAATGATATTTGACATACAAGCAGAAGAAACTTTACACTTGAGATATGGAATGATCTATTGGCAATGATAATGGTTGGTCTGAAAACATTTCAGGGTATCAGTCACTTCAGGGTGGGGAGAGGGACTTCTTCATAGGGAAACAGCAAGAAAAGGACACTGACTATTCACAGGAAAGAAATGCTTAACAATCCCTAGTAGCCTTCCCCAGACCAGTGCCCATGTTTGAGCTGCCTGTCTGTCGGATTCTGAGCTGCCAGGTTAAGGTGGTGTAATTTTAGGCAAACCACTATTGCTGTTTAATTAAAAAGTTTATTTTAAAGTCATGAGAAATAGCCAAGTGTGGGCTTGGGCACTAGAAAACCCATTTCTTAAAATTTTATGGGGTTTTCAAGGTTTATTTGTCTGTGTGGCCTTTGCAGGGTGTGCACGTACATCCTGTTGGTGAGCCAAGGGACAGGTAAGTTGTTCGAAGGCTGTTTATGGAACCACAGTTATCAGTTACATCCAAAGAACCTTTATAGTGTTTTTCATTTTAAAATGTGATGTAAAAGGTACATGGTGATGAACAAGAAATTTTAAGGGTTTGACAGTGTTCTGTAATCCAAAAGATACAGGAGACACCAAATTCTGTGCCTCAGATTCCAAGTATGGCAAGGCCCCAGGTACTTTGATGTGTACCTTGTGTTTACTTTGATGTGTTAATCTGAGTGATTAATTCACCCCCTCTTACAAAGTTTGAGGATGATATTGACACTGAAGATGAGTATGAACTCAGTCCTTTGTAAGAGAGAATATTGGAGGCCTACCAGATTTCTGACAAACTGCTGTATTGTTTAGGAGTTCAAATTCTATGAACTGAAAATAGCTCATATTTTGGGCAATAGAAACTTATTTTGGTTGCAATGAAAAGAGATGATGTTTTGATTATGACAGACACATGCATTTTCAATCCTTGTAAAAAATGTCAGTCAAAAGAGTCCTAAAAATCCATCAGCCAGCCCTGAACAAGTCTGGATAACTTCTTACAAAAGTATGTAATTAAATCAGCTTGGAAATCTACTGTTTGGTAGGGCAGTCTACAGCTGCAGAGCACGGGTATAGCACACTGCACGAGTCGTGCCACACTGTAATTAAGGAGGCCAGGTTTCCCATGAATGCTTGTCTTAACAGGTGAACAATGTTTCTCTAGGAAGATAAATCTCCAACTGCATTTTTCTCCTTAGTGGAGTTCTGTTTAAGTTTCTCCACAGTGTCAATTCTCCATTGTTCAATGAGAAGTGGACTTTCACTGCCTCTCTTCCTCAGAGAAGATACT